AGATAGGGTTTTACCTTCTTAAGCCCCCTTCTTAAGACTAGTTTTGCACAGGATGAACTCCTGGCCCCCACCTCCACAGGAAGGCTAGTCCGTGAAGCCTCAGCACCACGTTTGCTCCATCAAATGCCTGCACAGGTGGCCCTTGGAAGCCTATAAGGCAAAGTGGCAGGCTCCATCTTTTCCGTCCTCTATTTGATGCCCAAAGTCTTTTTGCTTTATGTGGAGGACATGGCTAATGTTCATGATAAAAACATGCCAGTAGGACAAAAGCTTATTTGTTTGCATTTCAGGGCATGAACAGATGGTTGCATGCTCAGTCTTAATGTATATAATTTTTAAATACTGATATAAATTACACTGGCCTCAAAAACAGACGGGCAAGGAGCCATCCCTGGACAATGGCATGCAATAGGCACTGTTATTAGGTAGCAGAGGAACAGGTGAAAGCTTAACTGCCTTTAGCAAACACCTACAAATAGAACTTATACCAGTGGTGTTTTATCTCTGTTTCATTCAGGCGGGTTTCTGCACTTCATTGGACTAACTTATCTAAAGGTTGATGTGGTCTGTCCTTTCCATTTTATACCGATGCAGATGCGTCATCCATCCATACGCTCAGCGTAGATACATTTGCAGCTAAGAAGAGAGACAGAATGTGTTATCCAGAGTTTAAGCTGGATATCTGTTTCCTTATGAACTGGACTAAGACCTGATGCTGGTACACTGATGCTTTCAGCAGTTCAGATGCTGCTCCTGACATGCACCTCAGTCTGGGCCCCATTTAGACACCATGCTAATCTGGGACTGATTCTTCCTCCACTGCATGCAGAGAATTTGATCTTTCCCTGCCTATGCAATTAGGGCCATCATTTAGATGCCTAGCACCTCTAGCCTTGTTGCTAGCAGCCCCTTCTTTTCCTACATCCCCAGCTCACACGTGGTCCAGCCTCAGTTCATTCAAAATGCACCTACTGCTATTCCTCCTGTCTATCTCCCTCATCCCAGCTCCTCCTTTGGTTCCTCCACTAGCTCCTCAGCTCTCCCGCACCAATCTTGCTGGGGTCATCGGATCATGATCTGTAAGGTCCCTTCCAGCCCCTAAAAACTATGAAACACTTGCTTCATATACTTATTTTCAAACCCTTTTCCAACTCTGCCTCTCCCCATTTATTTATTGAATCACCCACCCTCAACTTTGCTTTTTATTAACATGGCAGGTAGGTAGAGGAGGTCTCAGTTGCTTCCATGCTTTCTTGCACATGGTCCTTCAGGCATGAAATGTCCTTGCTGAATGAGTCCTTTGGTCCAGTGCTTTCACCCTTGGAAAATCCAAGGGTGAAAACACCTGATCAAAATCCAAAGTTGATTTGATGCCAACAAAACACTAACCAACCAATCACAGCCAGTTTGCAAATCAAGTTGGGAGGCTGAATTTTACTCATGCATTTTAAAATCCACCCTAAAAAAAAAAAAAAACCAAACAAACACCCCCCCCCCGCAAAACAGAGCTATCAGGCACCCCAAGGTGAGAGATCCATTACCTTCTTACAATAGGATTTTAGACTTTATTTTCCCTCTGTTTATGGGTCACAGTCAGTGGTCAGAAATTGTCTTAGTTTAGGTCCTGATCCCCAAATTTTTTAAATAAAGGGCACACAAGGTTATTTGGGTAGATGTGATCTCTTTTTTCCAACTACTCAAGTTGGTCTAATAAAAATTCTTAGCAAGCTTTTGGGCGCAGTCACCCTTTGTCAGGCATAGGGAGTCTCTGCCATTATATCAAGGCATGCATTGAATTGTTTATTCAGTTCCAACAAATACACAATGCAGCTTGCATCAAGAGGTAAAACAATCACTTTTAAAGGCAGATAAAATATATTAAGGTAAGAAATATAGCAAAAACTCCCTAAACCCCAACTTAGCTTTGCTTGCTAGACATCTGCCTGTGTAAGGTGGTCCTAGAGAGCTTCCAGAAAGTGTCCATGCTTGACTTCTGATGGGCTTCAAGGAGGAGGGAGTTCCCAGCCTGAGAATGACCTCCTAGGTGTTCAAGCAGACATGTACTGATGGCACCTGCAGGATGTTGCTCTTGGCCAACTTCAGGGATCACACTGGAGCATAAGGGAGACTCTGGTTCCATAGATACATAGGAGCTAGCTTGTTTAGGGCCTTCTGGGTCAAAATCAGCACTTTGTATTGCACCCAAAAAGCTGTTGGGAGTCCTGTGCCAATGCTGGAGCACTAGACAAATGAGTTTCTAGGGAAGCTTTATGTTTGAGAACAGTCCCATTAAATTGAGTGCAGGACTACTATCCATGCAGTTACACGCTGATGCAATGCTTGCTTTCCACAGAGTTGGTCTTGCTTTAGAAGTAGGAGAGTTAAAGGTTCACCAGCCCCTCATGCAAATGCAGTTAGATGGGCATCACGTGTGTTTAAAAGTGTTCATAGGATTGTAGGGTTGGAAGGGTCCCTACGGGTCACCTAGTCCAAACCCTTGTATGGATACAGGATGCGCTATGGAGATTCAGTGGAATTTCCCATCTGTCCATCAAAAATATTGATTCATAGAAAACAAAATGTTCCATGAAAACATGTAGATTTTAATGAAATTCTCTTGTAGAAAGAATTGGAACCGAGTTTCCCCATCTTTGTATAATGGAACATTTCTATTTCAAAATGACTTGATGATTATATAATTAAAATAGAAATAGTCAAGCAAAGCAGACATGTCATTGTTATTAAAGCAAGCAACATTTTATGGGAAGAAATTATTTCACTCCACAATAAATGAAGCTTTGCAGGATTCCGTTCTGTGGGGAATTTCAGGGGCACTGTGTCAGCAAGGAATTCAGGATTTCCTGCAGAACAGAGCCTAGTTTTCCTAGGTCAAGTCTACATGAGATGCGGACCGCTCAATTACTACTGCAGTCATTTAGTACTTGCATACCCCAATACTCAACCTTGCACAGTAGCATCCCTGCACAGATTCCTGGTGATGCCGCCTGTGCAGTAACTTATTACCATGCAGTAGCTGGTTACTACCGCAGAAGTAGCGTCACATCATGGTTTGTGCCCCATGAAGCTACTGCACAGTAGAAATGAGCTACTGTGTAACATCTCACATAGATGCAGCCATACAGTTTTATTTGCGTAGGTTACTCCTCCATCCATGTCAAAGTTTACATGGATGTGACTCTGTCCACACTAGAGGGATTCACTGCTTCGGTAAATCTGCTTCTAAACTGCAGCAGAAGCAATTAGTGGGTGCAGCGTGACCCTACCATGGGTACATTGCTTCTGGCTCTGGAGTCAGCACATACACGCAGCTAGCACAGGGTGCTTCTGCATGGGCTTTCCTTGTGCTGCATTGACATATTCTAAGTCTTTATCGGATCAGAGCTTTAGATGGCAATCTGTTGGGGGCACAGATATCACTGGCATGATTCCTTTATCTTTATGGAGGGGGCTGCTCTCTGAACACTCGTGGAGCTTAAGTAATGAATAGCACAAAAATGCCTCGCTGTATGAACACTACCAGTGATCCCTATTGGCACAGAACCTGCTACAACTCACAAAGGACTAATAACTTATATTATCCCCACCCTAAAATATACCCTTTGCACTTAGAGGTGGTGAAAAATGCTGACTTTTCATTAACCAGAGATTTCAGGGGGAGGGAGGGGATCATTTTGAATCTATTCCTGGATGTGACTGGTATATTTATATACAAATATAAATGTCAGCAAAATAGAGGGTTATACTCTGCTTTCTGGTGCTACAGAAATACCTACAGAGAGGAGAATGCCGGAAGGAGCCCAGTGCCACAAATTATCATCAGAAGCATAATAATGATTCCATTGTACTATAAATTGTTTTGCCATTTTACATTTCTGGTAACCGCTGAGAAGAAAAATGAAATAAATACAATTACCAATTCTCTTTCATGAGCCGAAGTCTAAGCTGCGAAAATGATTTTCCTACTGTACGCAACAGCACGCAAATATCAGATTTTTCCTATTGCACGTTTGCGAATAAGTAATTGCACTGGATGCCTATACAAATGTTTCAGACAGAAGTAAAGCATTATAGATTTATACAATGGGAAAATAAATAACGTAGCAAGACACAATGGCTTGTAGATGTGAGATTGCTATTTATCTGAATAGAAAGGGGTACATCCTGAGCAGTATGTTCAGATAAGAGAGGGAGATGAAATGGTGTGCGCCGATAGAACAAGTGTCTTTACAAATAAAAGAGTTATAACTCTTCCAGGATCAGAAACAGTAAAATGCCCTAAGCATAATCAGATGGTACCACAGGCAGAAGTAAGGGTATGTGGGACCTTAATTGTTTGTTTCTATATCTTAATTTTACCCTGAAAAGAAACACAAACAGGTCAAGTCTGAAATCCCTGAAATTCACAATGCTTAATTACAACATCCTTTTTTAAACACGAGCAAACACATAACCTTGCCTTACTGGTCTGCTCATTCTGTTTTTTCTTGGCATGACACACAACAAGCCTGATACTCACCTTATGTAAAATCACGGTGTTGACTTCCAGGGAACCTGTTGAGAATCTTGCTCAAACTTTGAAGAAAAAGATTCTGCCCCCAACCCAGAGTGGCTTTCAATGGGATTGATGCCAACTCCTGTCCATAGAAGGCCAACATTAGACTCAAATGCATCAAAGACATGCTGCAGCCATTAAGAGATTAAAAATAAATGTTACTGGGAAGAGTAATCAGCACTTGTGGTGTTGGCCAGAGCCTGTGGCTTTAGGTTCGGCCTTCTCAGCCATCAATGGACTAATCTACTACTCTTTACTTGACCCATGGGAGTGATCATCCTTGACCATGAGGGATTGCTGACAACTAGGAAGAAGACTACATCTTTTAGGGGAGAAAGGAGGTTATTTGTTCCCCCTTCCTTCATGGGGTTGGCTCCTTTAAAAATCTAAAGATAGGTGTTGATTTCAGCATGGTAGGGAAACTCATGCCATAGAGAATGATAAATGATGAAAACAGTGTCAAACTGAGATTCCCACTTCATCTTTCATTTACAGATAGGTAATGCAGTACGTGTACATAATATGATTCACTATTCAGTACAGTGGAGTGAGTTCTGAAGTGTGGATTAAATTCAGTTCTGCACTGTGCTTAGAGACCAATATTAATGCAACTTTTGTGGCTACACACAATAGGAAAGCTTGGTGATAATACAAGGGTAAGGTTAATGGAAGGGTATACCAGGGAGTTCATCACTCCCACACACCCTCTGGCTTTTAAAATCTTCCTCTAAAATATCTACTATTTAAAATCACTGCTGGAGACAGGCAAGTGGACTAGAGGGTCCTTTGGTCTGACCCAATATAGCAGTTCCAATGTTCTTATTACTAAAAGGGGAACAATTTGTTGAGACTATGGTCTGTGCGCTTGGATACAGGTTTAATCAGGGAGGCCAATCCTATCAGGCAATGTATTATTAGTGAAAAGATATTTAATAGTTATGGGCTGCAATTTCTGACTCTCTCTCTTATAATCATTTTTTTGGGGTACTTCTCCCCTGTCATTTTAAACAGTAGCTTTTACAAGGAAAAAAAAAAAGTTGCTAACTTGCATTGTAAGGGCATCCATATTTTCACGGCAATTTGACTAGCAGGGTATGAAGTGCTACAGTCATGCTGGCTGCGCCTACATAAGATGCTTACTGCACAGTACTCTTTACTGCTGCATTGTAGTAACAAGCCACTGTGCAGTCAGCATCACCAGGAAGCCATGTGGGGACACGACTGCACAATAACCAGCATTACTGGGCAATCATTTAGTACTTGGTTATGCATGTACTAAATGACTGCTCGGTAACAACTGTGTAGTCAGCATCTCATATACACATGACTGCTGGGGTCAAATACCTAACTAATACAAGGCCAACTAGGTAATTTTATTCATTCAGACTGTAATATAAAAAAGGGGCACTACCAACTTGAAATTTGTAGAAACCAAGTTTGAAAAATTTCTACTTTCTGACAGTAGTAGAAAACAAAACAAGACTCATACTACTTACATTTATGTTTTTTAAGGGGGAGAGTCTCTTCTATCCGATATTAACAGGGGGCCATTTCTGGAACAGAGAAACAATCTACAATATCTGTCTACCCAGGAAGATGTGAAGGTGACTCTCTAAATGAAGAAAGCAAATTGGAAAAAAAAAAATTTTTTTTGAACTTCCAGCTTTGGTACTTTTCCATAACTGCATGGTAGTGTATCTTTCAGGTAGTGATGATTCATTGGGGAAGACTTAGCACATCAGGAGAAACCAATTTAATAAAATTGGACAGGACCTCTGATATTAGAGGGGTTAAAAGTCTCTATGGCCATCTTAGAAGGCTTATATGAAAGCTTTCTTTGGAAGATCATTAAGGGACAAGAGAAATCCAGAAAGACCTATTCTCACGGTCCCAGAGAATACCAGTCACCTCATAGCTCATCAGCTTAAAGCACTAGACTTCGTTCATACCACAGCCATTTTCTCTCTTGTTCTTC